CAGACACCCAAATCAACACACATGGAGTAGGAGAAGGTAAATGAGGTTCCTTGCAGCCTATGGAAGTTCAGCGGTGGAGCAGATACCCACGTGTAGGCCATGGAGGACTCCACGCTGGAGCAAAAAGCTGAACCTGAGGGCAAGTGTGACTGAACTGAGACCCCAGAGTCGCTCAATGGGAGAGCTGGGCGGGGAGGCGGTGTGCTGGACCCGAGGCCCATCTGCAGCCCGTGGATGTCCCCATGCAGGAGCCAGGAGCTGAGCCCGGTGCATGCTGGGAAGAGCAGCAGAGGTGACCTGACTGAACCCCCATTCCCTGTCCCCTGTGCCACTGGGGGGGTGAAGACAGAGACATCAGGAGCAAAGTGGTTTGAGCCCAGGAAGAAGGGAGCGGTGGGGGGAAGGTGTTTTAGGACGTGGCTGTTGTGTCTCACTGTGCTACTGTGATTGATTTATAATGAATTAAATTGATTTTCCTTCCCCAAGTTGAGTCTGTTTTGCCCGTGACCATCACTGGTGAGTGAGCCCTCCCTGTCCTCATTTCAATCTACAACCCCTTTGTTGTTTTTCTCTCCCCATCTCACTGGATTTGGGGGGGGAGGGATTGAGTGCAGGACCACATGGTTTTAGCTCTGGGTGACAGCACCACAGTGAGAGTGTGTCCTGTGCTGGTGAGCAGGTATGAGGGGGCTGTGTGTGTGAGTGTGAGGGGCACTGGGGGCTCGGTGATGAGGTGCCAGGGATGCCCTATGCACCCGCTGGCCGCTGGGCAGCTGGAGAGGGCTGGGCTGGGGGCTGCTTTGGGTGCAGAGGTGGCATTGGGGTGCAGCAAGGGAAGGCGGGGGTGCTGGTGTGGGTGTGACAGGATGATGGGTGTTGGTGATGGGGTGTTGGAAGGTGCTTGCGGCTGTTGTGTTGGGCTCGGGGGTTTCGGGGCTCCCCCATGCTGCAGGGGTCTGCGATGGGCACATGCAAGTTCCTCCTGCTGGCACATCTTCATCCCGCACACACTCGAGGGCACAGGGTCCCCCCACTGAGCCCAGACGGGCTGATGAACAGATGTTTCTCCATGTCACTTGGGAGGAGAGACTGTGCCTAAAACATGGTCTCTCTTGACCTGGGAGCTGGTGGAAAGATTTTGATGTCTCAGTGCCTCCTCTGGAGGAAGCACTGAACGGTGCACTGAGCCAGGCATCTCACATTTAAAAATCTTGCCAAAGGCATGAAAAGTGTGATTTGACTCTTGGAGCATTTTTTTTTCTTTTATATTTCCTGTATTTTTCAGGCAGGAAGGCCCAGGGAGAGTGGATCACTGGGGTCCTCCAGTGATGGAGGTTTTTCCTTCATCAAATCCAGGCTTTGATGGGAAGGAAAATGCCAGGACCCTAAATCCCTTGAGACAGCCTGTGTGGGAAAATCATCCACACTGTGAAGGCACTGATGCCTTCAGGGCACAGAGGGATCCGTGGCCTTGCTCTGACACAAGGTGTACCAGGAAGGATGAGAGCTATCTGAGGTGCGGGACACCAGGGCATGGGAGCAGGGCTGCAAAGCAGTAGGGAACAACCCTGAAGCTGTAAATGGGAGAGTCTTGCAGCGACCAGTGGGGTCAGGCTCTGGCATCCCGGCTGGGGAAGGCAGGAAACCGAAACACCTCCCACATGGGACCCCAGGGTCATGCCTGGACAGCAAGCGGCTGGAGAGCTACATGGTGGTGGCTGAGCATGGATGGGGCTTTGCAGGTGCTTCTCTGGCCAAGGCAGTGGGAGGGGAGAGTGGATCCTGTCCAGCCAGCACAGCCTGTGCTGTCCCAGGAGGCTGCTCCTTCGGGGCTGGAAAACTGATGGCCGGGACAGAGCTGAGCTGAGCTCTTCTCCAGGTAGTGGAGGAGCTCTGCTGCAGGTATCTTTTGGGGCCTGTAAGGAGACCTCAGGAGACCTCTGATCCCTCCCTCTGTCCCATCGCAGGACCTTGGTCTGGATTCAGCCTCCCCAAATGCTCTGGTCCCAACTTTGGCACCTGACAAGCATCTTCCCTGCACTTCAAAGCTGTGACTCCCTGTACCACTCGCCTTGCTCTTTGCCTTTTACAAGAGGAGACTGGGAGCCTGTCCTCCTAGCTCCTCCTCTGCAGGTTGAACAACACAGTTAGGCTTTCTTCAACAGGAAGACAGGACAGGTGAGCACTCCTGTCCATCAGTTTTCCCCCCAAAATCCTAGACTGAGGCTTCTTGTCTTATTCTCTGAGTAACCGTAACTTGTCTCAGTCCAGGCAGTTCATTGCAACACATTTGGGTGCAGAGTATAGTTTAGAGATTAAAAGATGTTTGTAGGAACTAGTTGTTTTTTCATCCACATCTTTTCAGATTCACTTCTGCAACGTCTCAGGATTGGTTCACCTTTTAAGCCTATCTGCAGTCACACAGGCAGTCCCTCCCTGCAGACAGGTGGGCGGATGGCCTAGGAACCCTTTTTTCATCAAAGGAAAGATGTGATGAAGCTGGAAACCGACACTAACGGGTAGAGGGAGATCTCTGCAGCCTGCCTCTGCCACTTGTCTA